GCCCCCAGGAAGTTTTTTAGAAAAAATTTTTTTTGGAGGACCTTTTGTTTTCCCCCTTTGGGGGGAAAAGCCTTTTTTGGGGATGGCCCCTTCTGCGTTGGCCGATTCGATCGACCTCACCCTGGACGACTCGCCTGCCGAGGAGCGCGCTGCACGCCGCCGCTCCCCCGCCGACGCCGCGCGCTCGCCACGCCGCCGGCCGCGAGCGCGCGGCGGCGGCGGCGGGGGCGGCGCGCCATCTGCGGTTTTCGATCTGACGGTGGACTCGCCGGAGCGCGACGAGTCGACCCCCCCGGCTGGCCCGGCGCCCTCCACATCGACGAGCAGCGCCAGCGCCGACGGCGGGCCGAGCGGTGCCAGCAACAACCGCGGCGGCGGGAGCGGCGGGAGCGGCGGGAGCGGGGGGAGGAGCGGCGGCGAGAGCGGCGGCGCCGGCGGGAGCGGCGGTGCTTCTGGCAGCAGCAGCAGTGGCGGGAGCGGCGGGAGCGGCGGCGGCGGTGGCGGCGAGAGCAGCAGCGGCGGCGGCGGTGGTGGCGGGAGCAGCAGTGGCGGCGGCAGCGTCGGCGGCAGCAGCAGCAGCGGCGGCGGCGGCGGTGGTGGCGGTGGCGGGAGCAGCAGCGGGAGCAGCGGCGGGACGTCCTCGGGCGCTGCGACGGCAGCGCCGACGGTGATCGACCTGATGGTGGAGGAAGTCGGCGACGCGCCTCCCGGCCCTTCGGTGATCGACCTCGACGCAGACGACGCGTCGATCGCGCGCTCGCTCGCCGCGCAGCTGCAGCAGCCGGCCGACGTCGACCTGCAGGCGCTGCAGGCAGCGCGCGAGCGACGGCGGCGCGCGCGGCGCGACCGGGCGAGGAGCGCGGCGGAGGCGATCGTCCTCGAGGCGGACTCGGCATGAGTTGGTGAAATCACTGATTCGCTGCTTGAGCATTCAAAGGCGATCGACCTGGACGCGGAGCCGGACGATCTTCTTTTCGAGCAGGCGAGGAAGGAAGGAGTCGAGTAGGAATGAGCAGAGGAGCGATGACTCGTTAGTTCACACGAGTTCAGCAGTGAGGAGCAGATCTAAGGAGCGATGGCTCATTGCCTCGCATCTCCTCCCCCCCCTTCGCGCAGCGGTCCTCCATCGAGCGGCTGGTGCAGCAGAACGCGCCGCGGCATGTGCCCGGCGCGCCCGCCGCCCGCGGGCGAGCAAGGGCGCCGCCGGAGCAGCTCAGGGGGCGTGGGCCGAGGGTGTGTGAACGGCGTCTCTTCACACCCCGCTGCTGTGAACAGGCGCCCGTGCACCTCGGCGTCTGGCTCAACCCAAGGTCGCTGTGAACGGCGTCTCTTCACACCCCGCTGCTGTGAGCAGGCGCCCGTGCACCTCGGCGTCTGGCTCAACCCAAAGTCGCTGCCCAACGAGCCCCTCTACGAGCGGTTCGTCGCCGCGTGGCAGCGGGCCCTAGAAGCGGAATATCTCCCCATATCTCCCCATATAGCGGGCCCTAGAAGCGGGAGACGCTGTCCTGCCTCCCAACTAGCCCTCGAGAGGGCAACGTATTCCGCTGTATTCAGCCGCATTCCGCTGCATGCACTGTCCTCCTCTCCGTTGTACTCACGCGGTGCTCTGAACACACTGCACAGTCCCGTCTCCCCGCCCTCACGTCTGCGTATTCAGCACGGTAGGCAGCGGGTACCAAACAAGACCATCCGGCTCGTGTTTCACGGGACGCCCGAGGCGAACGTCGGCGCCATCTGCCGCGACGGCCTCGACCCAGGCCGCCGCGCCGGGCAGGCGCACGGCGCGGGCGAGTACTTTGGAGGCAATATGGACGTGTCGATGGGCTACTGCCGCGGAGGCAAGTACATGCTGGTCTTCGCGGTGCTGCTCGACGCGTGCTTCCCACGGCTCCACTCTGAGTGCGTCAGTGAATGAGTCTTGATTACGAGCTAGGTGCTGCTCGACAAGTCGGGCCTGACCAAGGTGGTCCCCTCGCAGCGTTGATGAATGAAGGAATGATTCAATGAATGAACGAACGAACGAACCGCCGGGCCTGGCCTAGGTGGTCCCCTCGCAGCACGGCGTGCCGGGCGAGATCGTCGTCGTCAACAAGCCGGAGCACCAGCTGCCTCTCGCGGTCGTCTCGATTGGCTGCCCCACGTGGTCGCCGCCGCCGGGCTGGCTCTCTTCCTCGCAACGCCTCTACACCTCCGCCGACGCGCGCGCGCACAACCCGCACCACTCCGCCGCCAGTTTGTACGCCAACCTGCCCGCGAGTGTCTCCGCCGCCATCTACAACCGGCTCGTCGCCTCGGGGCTGCCGCTGCCTCCCGGCCTCCGGCCCCCGCCGGGCGCCGCCGCCGCCGCCGCCGCCGCCGCCGCCGCCCGCCCCGCGCGCCCACCGCCTGCGCCGGTCTACCCGCCGCCCCGACCGCGCAGCCGCAAGCGCCGCCGCTGACGCCGCCGCCGCTGCCGCCGCCGCTGCCGCCGCGGGCGTCGAAGGTCGCTACTGTCGACAGAGCTGCCGCGGGGCTGTCCGCGAGGAGGGGTGAGGGGGCGAGGTGGGGGGGTGGGGGGGGGATGGGGGGGGGATGGGGGGGGGGGGGTCTTGGAAAAAACAAAAACGGGGGGGCCGGGGGGGGGCCCCCCCATCTGGCTCGGGGCTTTATTAGGGCCCCGCGGAAAATTCCCAGAAAAAAAAGAGGGGGGGGGGGGGTTGGTTCCAGTATGTGCGGGTGGGTGAAAGAGGTGGGCGGTGTTGCCGGTCGGCAACCGCACAGTCTCTCTGTCTTCCGGCGCGCGGCTTTCCGCGCGTTCTCAAAACAAGACGTGGATAATTCGCGTCATTCTCCACATTCCGAGGGCACAAAATCAGGATCTTTTGGCGGTTCGCGACGAGAAGCGTTTCCTGATCCTGTTACGGTGATCGTGCCACTTATCGAGCCCTCCTAGTTGCTAGTACTTTAGCTAGTATCACCTTGGTACATTGCTATGCCGTGGCAGCGCTGGCCGTCAGCTGTCCACCGGGCGAGGCGGCCTCGACGGCGGCCTCGAGGCGCTCCGCGACCTCTCCCAGCCGGAACCTGGCTGTAGGATCGTAGTAGGTGGCGAGGGATGGCGCCATCTCCACCGCTAGCGCCGAAAGGTGCGGCGTCAGTGTCGTGGCCGGGCTGCGGACGCCAAGAGCCGCCATGGCGACTGTCGCCTCGATGGCGTGGAGCGTGCGGCACGCTCGCACAGTCGCGCCGACCGCCGCGGCGGCGGACGCGGCGAAAGCGCCGACGCACTCCACACCGTCGGCGGCGGTCGGCCGGGAGCCGGCGAGGCGGAGGGACGCAGCGGCGGCCGCCTGGTGCGCCGTGGCCGCCGCAATGACGAGGAGGTTGCGATTGTGCACGCCGCCGTGGGAGCTGCCGTTGTGCAATCCGCACGGCAGGCCGCCATTGAGGGAAGGGTTCGCCAGCGTCCCCACGCGCGAATAGGATCTGTTGCATATCTCTCCGAGCGCCCCGAGTACGGCGTCCAGGGAGGCGCGAAGGGGTAGCGCGTCGAACCCGACGGCGGTACCCACGTGGAAGCCTAACAGAGGAAGGACAGGCAAGCGTGCATGCCTTGGTCGACGCTGTGAAGTGGGTGGGGGCGGCGGCGCGCGTGCTGCTGCGCGGCTGCCTCATCAGCATCTAGCTGCGGGCGCCTCCCCTCCCGTCGGGCAGCACTACGGGGTTGCACTGCGCGTGCGCCGAGTATCGACTCACGGTCGCGGAGAGCCCCTCAGACGCCTACTAGAAGCAATCTCCAGTGTGGTGCAGCTGATATGATGGGCGGAGGTGGCTCTCGAGTGCCTGAAGCGCACGCAGGAGAGCGCCGAGCGCTGTGGCCGCGCAGCGCAGATCGAGGGGGTCCTGCATGCGGCGCGGCGTCCAGCGAATGTCGGCGCGCGTCCAGCTCGCAATGGCAGCCGCAGCAGCCGCGTCGAAGCGCGACGCGGCCTCCCACCGGCAAGCGTCTTCGTACACCGCAGTGTTGCCCTCAAAGGCAGCGAGTGAGAGGGCGGCGGTCGCTGCGCCGACACTGGCGAGCCTTTCCAACTCGAGGCAGACAAACGCGAGTCTGCCGAGCAGAAGGTTGTTGTGGCTCATGAGCGGCAAACACTCGCCCTCGCGGCAGGGCATTTGACGCTCCGCTAGCACGTGCAGCGCAAGCTGGCAGTTCACGACGAGAGCGCCAAATCCTGGGTCCGTCGACTCCATCGAGTCGAGACGCGGCGGCGTCGCGTCGTCGTCGTTCACCCAAGCGAGCAGTGCGGCTACCAGCGCAACTGACACACCGGGCAAGCCTCCCTGCGCAGTCCCCGCCTGGTTCACCCAAAGAATGAGAGCTGCTCGCGCGTAGGCGAGCGGCTCGGGCGTGGCCGCGATCTCGGTCGCGTGGGCCGTCATCACGCGCAATCCAAACCCATCCATGGCCTCTGCCGTGGCAGGAGACGCGTGTGCACCCACACCAGTTGTGAGCCCGTAGATTCCGTCCGCCTAGGTGGGGCTAAGTTGAGCGCTCGCTCGCTGCAGAGGCTAAGTGTAGAGCGACCCTCTAGCCCTACTACCCAACCATTACATACAACCTCCGAGATTACTCACTATCTCATCGGCACCTCAGCGGACATGCCTGAGGTTCACAACGCACTTTATCTGCACATGTGGAATCAGATAATAGTCTCCTTCTACGAAGAGGATGGCGTACATCTCGGCGTCGACAATCTCCCACGATCCCGGCAGGGCGCCTCCCCATATTCCCCGTCCTATTCGCTCGTGAATCTGTGCCCTGGTCTCTTGTGTATCGTCATCTCCCTCTTTCGGCTGCACGCCCTCCCATCCCCCGAATGATGCTAGCCTTCCGTCTCGAGTCTCCTTCAGCGAGGCGTCCGTCGCTGCCGCCGCTGTGAAGTGGTGCCACTTGTGCAGGCGGCACGCCAGGTCCCTCGCCCTCCACGTCGTGCTCGTTCCCCGCTCTCGCATGATCCGACACTCGCTTTCGTCCATCACAATCTCGTTCTCGCCCTCTCGGTCGTGTAGTCGCTCTTGCGGCGCGCTCCGGATTGCGCCCTCCGCCTCGTCGCTCCTCAGATACAGTCGTAGGACGGGGTCGCGAGCAATGTCGTTCCTCCCGATCTCTTCGTATCCCGCCCTTCCTCCTCCCTTTGTCCACATCTCCTGTACCGCCCCTCCGATCTCCTCCTCGATCGCGACGTTGTCGAGTACCGCTTGCGGCGCACCTCGCCTCCACTCCCCGCCACCCACTAGGTCGTCTATCTCTTGCCCATGTCCGAGCGTGTCCGGTTCGTCACTCCCCCACCATGCGTCCCCGCCGATCGTCGCCTCTCCATCGTGTGTGTGTGTGTGTGTGTGTGTGTGTGTGTGTGTGCACTCCAGTGCTCGCCTCCTTGGTGGGTTTCTAAACTATGTTTGCGATTTGGGCTTTGGATTTTCATGACTCTTTTTTATTTATTTATTTCCCCTAATTCTATGTTTAGAAGACGGGTAAAACTAGGATCCAGGTGCACTCCAAGTGCACTCCAAGTGCACCAGCAGCAAGTCTAACTCAGTGCCTCTGGTGGCTGCGGGCTCGGCCCAGCCGTGGCGCCGAACCAAATCCTCTCCCCGTTGAGAGCTCCGCGAGAAGCCTGAGCATCCCCTCCTTGTCCAACTGCGTTTCTCACTGCCCCGTCGCCCACATCTCGATCTTCTTGGGCAGCAGCTGGTCCGACAGGTCCTCTCCGTGGCCTAGACAGCCGTGGCGGCCCTCGCCCCAGGTAAAGCCGGCGCCGTCGGCGGTGCGGGCGAGGCTGTGGTTGGCTCCAGTCGACACAGCGACAACGCGCTGCCCAGCAAAGGCCTCGACCTTCTTCGGCAGCAGCTGGTTCTGCGCGTCGCCGTGGCCCAACCGGCCATAGGCTCCATCGCCCCAGCTCCAGACGGCGCCGTCGGCGGTGATTGCCATGCTGTGGCGGTGCCCTGCTGACACAGCGAGGACGCACTGGCCACCAAAGGCCTCGATCTTCTTCGGCAGCAGCTGGTTCTGCTCGTCGCCATGGCCCAGCTGGCCATAGGCTCCACCGCCCCAGCTCCAGACGCTGCCGTTGGCGGTGATGGCGAGGCTGTGGACAGTTCCAGCCGACACAGCAATGACGCGCCGCCCAGACAAGGCCTCGATCTTCTTCGGCAGCAGCTGGTGGTACTGCTCGTCGCCGTGGCCCAACTTGCCCAAGTAGCATGTGCCCCAGCTCCAGAGGGCGCCGTCAGCGGTCAGGGCGAGGTTGTGGTAATTCCCAGCCGTCACGGTGACGACGCGCTGCCCAGCAAAGGCCTCGATCTTCTTTGGCAGCAGCTGGTTCTGCTCGTCGCCGTGGCCCAGCTGGCCACAGGCTCCACCGCCAAAGCTCCAGACGGCGCCATCGGCGGTGAGGGCGAGGCTGTGGTACGCTCGACCCGACACAGCGACGATGCGCTGGTCAGCAAAGGCCTCGATCTTCTTCGGCTGCCACTGGTTCTGCTCGTCGCCGTGGCCCAGCGCGCCGCTCCATCCACGGCCCCAGCTCCAGACAGCTCCGTCAGCGGTGAGGGCAAGGTTGGACCCGGCTGCAACCGACACGCTCACAGCGCGCTCACCGCCCAGCGGGGAAGAAGGGAGGCGGGTCGGCATGTTGAGCCGCGTCACACCCTCGCCGTGGCCGAGCAGTCCCGGCGTCCAGTCATCAGCCTTTCCGCACGACGAGAGCCGCCCCTCGCCGTCGATGAAGACGCTGTGCATGTTGCCTGCCGCCGCCCTCGCCGGCGGGTTGGCCTCTCGAAGCAGCGCCGAATAGCACAGGCATCGCACGGCGCAGCTCTCGCCCTCTGGCTGCGCCGGCAGCTCGAAGCCGCGCTCTTGCGCCCACAAGCGGATGCCCTGCTCCGCGAGAGAGGCGTGAAAGAGGAGCGAGACGGCCGCGACGCGAGCGATGTCGAGGGGGCTGTCGAAGCGGGAGAGGGCGCGCAAGAGGAGCTCCGTGGGGAGGTCGAGGAGGCGGGCGGGCGGCGGCGTGTCTGGCGAGGGGGCGGCGGCGGAGGAGGCGGTGGCGAAACGGCGCGAGCAGCGGCGCGGCGGGGCAGACATCGTGAGAAAAAGAATTTCAGCGCGCCGCTGGGAAACCAGACATCGCGAGAAAAAGAATTTTACGGCGTCGTTGCCAATAAAGAAACCGAAAAACACCGGCCGAAGCTCCATCTAATTCTTTCGGCGGGAGGTCTCCACAGTTGAACTTCAGGCCCTAAACTTTATCGATACCGAATTCGCCAGAGTCACTCGCAAAGCAGCGGGGCTGGGCGAGCGCCGTGGCTGAATGGCTAGATAGAGGCGACGCCGGCAGCCTCCAAAAGAATTTAAACAAAACAACTCTCTCTCACAGCAGACAGGCTCGACACAGGTGCGAACTGGCGCGTGCTAGTACTATCACCGGCACACCACCGGAGCCGCCTAAGCGACTCCGTTAAGAACGGCAATGCACTTAGCTCCGTGCACAACGCCGCTGTCCCCGCACGCTAGCTCGTTCACCGTCTGCCACGCCACGGCGGTGTGGAGAACGACAGACAAGCGCTGCATCTGCAGCCCGTGCCAGTTCTTGGTGGTCCATGTGACCTCATCGAGGTGCTGAGCGTGCGAAAGTTTGTTACTCAGCTGGTCCGCCGCCTGCCGAAGAATTTTGCGGACGCCGTCCCCGAAACCGCCGAACGTCTCGAAGTCGAGCAAACGCAGGTCGCAATTCTTCTCCCGCGCGAACCGGTAGTCGCCCTTCTCGTAGCGGGCCGTCACAGGTGCCCCCGCCTCCGCCTCCCGTTGAAAGAATTGTACGAACTAGCCGGAGCCAATTCTACGAACCAAGCCCCTCTCACAGCAGCCTGGCACGAACTAGCACCACAAAAGGCACAGCAGACAACGGCCCCTTATGGGCCGTCGAAGAGGCCGTCATACTCCTCCGGCCTCGCCCCCCCTTCCCAACCCTCCCCTGGCTCAGGCTCCTCATCCTCGCGGCGCGCAGTGCGCACCCCGCCCCGCGAAGACGAACCCTTCCGCCGGCGTGCCTCGCGGGACTGCCGCCCGCTGCCGCCGCCCTTCCCCCCCTCCGCCGCCCGCGCCTTCTCCGCCGCCCGTGCGGCCTCCTCCACCTCCTCCGCCGCCAACAGCGCCTCCCTCCGCGTGACCCCTATGGGCCCCTTGCGCATCCAGGAGAGGTCGCGCGAGCGACCTATCCAGGGGTTACTCGAATACGGCGCAACGTAGCCGCTGCGCAGCTCCGAGTAGTCGCCGAAGCCACCCCCCAAGAGTAGGTAGGTAGAAAGGTGAAGAACAGCCAGGCTCGGACTGGACACCAACGCGGTATGGGTGGACGCGGGACAGATGATGACGACACGCACGAGCGACACACAGACACAAAGAAGAAGACCATACCTTACCAAAAACTCCAAACCCTGCCGCTGCCCTTCTCGGTTTAGCTGCCCACCACCCTGCCTCGGCCCGACACTCTCGGAGCAGTATTTCCCCCTTCTCGGATAGCGCGCTTGTCCTGTGATAGCGCATTCTGCCGTGAGCGGTCCATTAGCTTGGAGCGCTTGCATAGCTTGGACCAATCGCCACGCGCGCCAATGGCCAGCCGCCACGCCAGTCTACCTGCGCGCGTAGGCTGGGGAGCGCTAGTGCCTCGCGCTCTTCTCGGCTCACCCGCCACGCGATGACACAGGTGCGGCGCGAGTTCGTGGGCATGGCCTCCGGCAGCGGCCCGAGGGCCAAAGGCACGGACGGCGCCGACCACAAGTTCCGGCAGCGCGTGGACGACCACTACAAGCTGATGGCGGACGGCCGCGCCAAGCTCGCCTCCTCGGGCCGCGCGCACGCCGCTGGCGCCTGCGGCCTTCTCGGCGCGTTGGGCGCCGCGGCACTCGGCCCAGGCGAGGGCACGCCTTCGCTGCTGCTGCTGCTGCTGGGCGCGCCGGCGGCGCTGTGCGCGGCCGCCGCGTTCGGCGCGAGCGACGCGAGCCGCATGAGCGCCACGGCCGCCTCTCGCGCCTCAGCGCTCAGCTGCGCGGCAGCGGCGCTGCTGGTCTGCCTCCTCTGCGTGCTCGCCTCCTCGCCGCAAGAGCCGCTGGTGGCGGGGCTCGCCGGCCTCTCCTCCCTCCCTGCGCTGCTCGGCTGCGCGGCGGGCGTACTCGGCGCGAACAGGCTGAGCGCGCGGCTCTAGATGCTGCGAGTGAGTCGTCCGTCCCCGCGGGCGCTCCCGCGCGCAGCGGACAGCACCGCCTGTACCTGTCACACACGCACAGATGCACTCCACAGATGCACTCCCACAGATGCACTCCCACAGATGCACTCCACACTCCACAGATGCTCAAGCGCCCTTTCCTTAGGCGCCGGATTCGCGGCGCAGGCGGAGAAGAAGAAGGTCGGCCAGCGGTGAGGCGCAAGGGGGTGGGGGAGGTAAACGGCAGCGCCGAGAGGCTCGCCCCGCCGGCCAACACACAACAGACCGCGGTCAGTTGTGCCGTGTAACGCGTCCTCTGCGATGTATATACTCACACGCTATTTAATACACACACTGTAAGAGCCCCCCGCGCCCCGCGCCCGGGCCCGCGGGGGCGCCCGGCGGCGGCGCGCGCCCGCCCGCGCGCCCCGCCCCCGGAGCGGCCGGACGACCGCCGGACCCGCGGCCGCGCGCCCGCGCCGCCCCCCGGCGCCGGGAACTCGCGCATCCAACGTATCCTGTTTTCGTGTTTTGTGGTTCGATCGAGAGAAACTCGATATCACGACGGAGACAGTGTGCTTTGTAGCGCGGTACATGCCACAACCCACTGTCGGCACTGAGACCGGCGCGCGCGGCGGCGGTGACCGCGCTCCGCGGCGCGGCCCGGCGCACGAGGTGCGAGCCATGGCCGTGCCACTGTCCGGCGGCCCCATCAGAGTCCCTTCGCTCTCGCTCACTGCGTCTCCTCACATCCGAATGCCGAACCCTCACAGCCCCGCCGCGAACGACACCCGCTTCTTCCGCGGCGCACCGCCGCCGCCGGCCGCCTTGGCCGCCTTCTTCTCCTCGGCCGCCCGCTCCGCCTTCTTGCTCGCCCGCTTGTCCCCCTTCGCCTTTGCCTTTTGCGCCGCCAGCGCGCCAAGCAGCGCCGACCGCTGCTCCTGCCTGGCGGCCGCCTTGGCGGCGCTCTTCTCCCGCCGCTCCTCCTCGCCCGCCTGTGTGTGTGGGGGGGGGGGGGGTAGTGCATACCTCGGGGAGGACGGCACGGATTCGCGGGCGACGGCCGAAATGGCGGGGAGGGGTCACGACGGCCGAAGTGGCGGCGAGGGAAGCGGAGCGAGGCAAGCGAGAGGCCGGCGTCTCGGACGTGTCTCGAAAGTGCCTCGAAAGTGTCTCGGAAGTGTCTCGGAAGTGTCTCGGAAGTGTCTCGGAAGTGTTCCGGACCTCGAAGGCGCGCATACGCCGCAGCTTCGCCTCCCGCCGCGCCTCCTCCGCCCGCGCCGCCTCCTCCATCACCGCGAGCGTGCTCTCGTCCACACCTACCCCGCCCCGGTCCGCCGCGCCGCCGGCCGACCTTGTTCCGCCGCCGCCCGCACCCGCGGCGCGCGCTCCCTTTACCTTCTTGCTCCTGGGCGCCGCCGCCGCCGCCGCAGCAGCAGCAGCCGCGGGAGCATCGGCCTCCGCCACCGAGAAGGAGGACGCGGCCTCTGCCGCCGCCGCCGCTGGCCGCTTCTTGCGGCGCTTGGCGCCCTCCGCCTCCGCCGCCTCCGCCGCCTCCACCTCCGCCGCCTCCGCCGCCTCCGCCGCTGGCGCCGCCTCCGCCGCTGGCGCCGCCTCCGCCGCTGGCGCCGCCGCCTTCGCCGGCCGTTTCTTCGGGCGCTTTGCCGGCGGCTCCGCCGCCTCGGCCGCCTCGGCCGCCTCGGCCGCCTCGGCCGCCTCGGCCGCCTCATTCTTCTTCTTCTTCTTGGCCGATGCCCCCGCCGCCGGCGGCGCAAATGGCGCTGCGGACGTGGGCAAAGTCGCGTGCAAGGACGGGATGGCGCCTGCGGACGTGTCGTTGATGCGTCACCGAGAGGGCAGCCTGGCCGGCGTCTCGGCTGACTGTCTCGGGGTCGGGGCTGTGTCTTGGGACTGTCTCTCGGGACTGTGTCTCGGCTCTCGGGAGTCAGACACGGTGGCTGTCTCTCGGAGCTGCGTCGCGCGCCGAGTTTGGTGATTGGCATCTCGACGACGAGAACGTGGCCCTGCATGCTGGCGGACGTCTGCGCGTCGTCGCACTCGGTCCCGTTCGGGTAACGCCGCGACAGCGCGAACCGGTGACGCCCCGTCGTCGTCAGCTCGATCCGCGTCTTGCTGGTGTTGCACTCGATCTGCGAAGGAGAGACGTGGTGCAGTGCCACCTTGATGGTGAGGAGCATGCGCTTCCGATTGACCCGGATGGTCGCGGGAGGCACCGCCGGCGATGGCTCGTCCGGCATGTGTGGTACGTGGGATGGAGGTGCTGCGGCAAAGAAAAAACCGCGGTGAAATAGGACGCCCAGCCCTGCCCTCAACCGGACTCAAAAGACACCGCCACATTCCTGAGACGAGCGAGGGCAGCCTCCTTAAAGGCGAAAGGGTCTAGATTTGGAGCGCTCGCCGAAGAGGAGTACGACAAAATAGCGCCCGTGATTGCCTGCACGCTACCCGCACTCACGGACTCCATACCCGAAAGAAAGAGAAGGGAGCTCGCGGGAGAGGTGACGAGTGACCTACAGGTAGTGGGGAAGGCAGCCTCGATTGCCATACAGACATGGGTGCGAAACAACGACAAGACCAAGGCACGGGCAGAGGAACGAGAGAAGAATATAGGGTGGATAAAGCGCCTGTTCACGGCATGGAGGGTGAGCCACACCGAACGTACCGAGCGAAGAGCCGAGCGGAAGGAGGACGGGGAAGATGACTCCGAGGAGGACGAACCAGTGGAAATCCAGTTGTCAGATGTCACGATGCATCCGAAGGGGACCCCAGCGCCGGCATCATCCGTAGAGGCACGAGTGTTCGAAGAGAGAGTGGACCTGAGCAACAACATGACCTGTAGGCAAATGATCGGAGTGGGAGTCAGAAATGTGGTCCTTGCGCGAGGGGAGCTCGATAGACTCGAGGGGCCAGGATACGCCGCGAGGAGGACGGAGTTGCGCCGACAGGCGAAAGAAGCCGCGAGAACAAGGGACCGGCAGGCGGCGGCGTCGCAGGACGGGGCAGAAGAGAACAACGCGACAGAGGAGGAAGTGACAAGGGAGAGAACGACGAGGGTGGGACGACCGCGTGGTGGCATGAAGATTGCAGCGAGAATCAGCGAGAGACTGCGAAGAGAGATAGGAAGAGGCAGACTCCCTAGGGTGGGCGACGGATAGCGCACCACACACCTCTCCTTAAAATCCCTGTGTGGTGGCGGCGTGCCGTCCTCCCATCCCTCCCTTGGGTTGTCTGTTTTCTTTCTTTCTTTCTTTCAGCCCTGCCCTCGTGCCGCCGAGTGTGTATCCGATGCGAGAGAGATCCCCTGTGCCCTGTGCCCAGCCCTCTCCGCGCGGCGATGCGCCCTCCCCCCTCGCTTTTGCAAAATCCTGCAAAGGTGGGGGGGTGGGACGTGTCTGTCTGTCCTCGACCCAGGCCTCGCTTGGGATGTCCGTTTTATTTATTTATTTATACTCTACGAAGTGACTTTAAGGCTCCACTCGTACCACGTACCACACATCGATCATTGTGAGATGGCCAGAGAGACTGAGTCTGAGAGCATCGCCATATCGAAGCGGTTTGTTCGTCTTCGACGCTTCGGTCGGACCGTGTCGCTCTCCTCTCCAAGCGTCTCCTCAGCCTCGTGTGCACGCAAGCGCACGCGTTCCACGACGATGGGCTCCGCCTTGCCTTTGCCGAATCAATTCCTCTCTCGGATACTCAACGCGCGTCTCTCCCTCCCCTTGCCCGCAGGTTCCACAGCGCGTGGGGGGAATTCGCTTCCGCGTGTAGGATATTGAGTGTCTTGTCTTGTGGGGTTCTGTGTGTCGCTCCTGTGTGACCGTCATCGCCCGTCTTGCGTCCACCCATACCGCGTTGGTGTCCCAGTCGTTGGTCGGACTGTGTTTCGCCTTCCTATCTATCTATCTATCTAGGATACTGCGAGCGGGTGTTATCGGACACGCACGGCTCCGGGCTCTGATGCTGTGAGCCCCGGACCCTCCTTGCGAAGCACACTCGCCGGTGTGGAAGGGGGAGTCCGGAATCGCCGAGAGCAGCGCGTGGGAACATGGCCTCGCGCTGGGAAAACTCTTTTGTCCTACTCACTCTTAGCCTTGAAGTACAACGACCTGGGTGTGAGCCAAGTCCGTGGCTAAGCCGAGTTGGGGCAGCGAGCGGCCTGTCGTCAGGTCGACTCGCCCGTGCCCAGCTCGCTTGTGTCTGCCCCGACACATGGCCTCTGGTGGACCTTTGCTGGGCAAGGTCCACTTCGGCTAAATTCACGCCCCAAACGCTACTATTTGCTCAGGCCAAGTCCAGGCACACTAGAGGACTGCCTGAGCTCACAGGGGCATGTACACTATATTTACACCTACTATGCTGTTTTCACACCGATCATAATACGCGATCGCGCAGGGATATGGCGCTGTCTCTTGTTTGCCCTCGCCTTTTGTGTGTTAGTGCCAGTGCGCGCCAGTCCCGTGCCCAGTGTAAAAGAAAGAAAGAAAACAGACAAACCAAACGAGGGATGGGGGAGGAGGACAGGGTCCACACCTGCACGAGCAGGATTGTGGAAGGACGATTGAGCGAGGGAGTGCGGCGTAAAATTCTTTAATTGCGACCAAGCGGGCTGTGCCCCCCGCATATGTCGCCGGTACTCGCACTCCTCACGCTGCCTCTCGTCGAGGCCTTCTGGAAGCGGCGGCCTCCGCAGCCGCTGCCCGCCACTGACGAGCCGGTCGGACAGAGTGCGATGCTTCTCATCGTCCTTTCCATCGTCGCCTGCTGCTGTGTGCCTGCCTTGCTGGCGAGGCTGCGAGGAGCGGGCGGCGCTGCACGGCTGATCGACGGCAAGGCCATCGCGGCTGCGATCCGGAGGGAGGTGAAGCAGCACAGCGAGGCGCTCATTGCATCGCACAAAGTCACGCCCGGCCTCGCGGTGGTGCTCGTCGGCGCCCGCACAGACTCAGCCACGTACGTCAAGATGAAGAAGAAGGCGGCAGCAGAGGTGGGGTTCCACTCCATCGACAAGACCTTCGAAGAGAGCGTGACCGAGGAGGCGCTGCTGCAGTGCGTGCAGGAGCTCAACAGCGACCCAAGCGTGCACGGCATCCTCGTCCAGCTTCCGCTGCCCAAGCACATCGACGAGGCGAAGGTGCTCGAGAGCATCAGAGTCGAGAAGGACGCGGACGGCTTCTCGTCCGAGAATGTCGGCAACATGTGCTTGCGCGGCGGCAAGGTAACACTTGCACACCGAGTCGCCTCGCGGCTGCCAGAGTCCTGCTACCCGCCTCCCGGCCGCTCTCTCGTCGCTGGCTCTGTTCGACCGCCGCCCTCGGATCTCCTCGCGCGTCTCGCCCGCCTCACTGCCGCCTCCGCCTCCCGCCTCCCGCCTTCAGCCGCCGCTCGCCGTGCCGTGCACGCCCGCCGGCTGCATCGAGCTGCTGCAGCGCTCGGGCGTGGCCGTGCGAGGCAAGGAGTGCGTGGTGGTCGGCCGCTCCAACATCGTCGGCATGCCGGTGGCGCACATGCTCCAGTCGATGGACGGGACCGTGACGGCGCGATCACCCGAGATCAACCGAGGTCACCCGAGATCACCTGAGGTCACACGAGGACACGCGAGATCACCCCAAGTCACCCGAGATCACTCTAGATCAACCGAGGTCCCAGAGTCACCCGAGATCAACCGAGATCAACCGAACAATCACCCGATGTCACCCGAGATCACCCGAGATCACCCGAGATCACCCGAGATCACCCGAGATCACCCGAGATCAGGTGTGCCACTCCAAGACGGCGGGCCTCCCTGCACACGTGCGGCGCGCCGACATCGTCGTCGCCGCCATCGGAGCCGCCGAGTTTGTCAAGGGCGACTGGATCAAGCCGGGCGCAATCGTCATCGACGTGGGCATGAACACAAAGCCTGCCGACACGGCCAAGGGCTTCCGGCTGTGCGGCGACGTCGACTTCGACGCGGCCAGCCGGCGCGCGAGCGCGATCACTCCCGTGCCGGGCGGCGTCGGCCCGATGACGATCGCGATGCTGCTCAAGAACACGCTCAACCTTGCCCGGCACGCGGCTGGCCTGCCTCGCCTGCCGCTGCGGGCTGAGTAGGGTAGAGAGCCGCCGCGGCCGGGCCCGCAAGCGGTGGCCGGTGTCCGGAGTCCGCGCGGGAGTGGGCCGTGTGGCGCTCTTGGTCTTGCGGCACGTGTGCGCACCGCGCATGTATTTTTTATTCGTTCTCTTTGCATGCGAGGACGAATTTTTTTTCGCTCTGCGAGCCAGCGATGCGACCTGGCTTCCCCCTGCCGGCGCCCTGGCGCCTGGGTGCGCGCTGTCAGTGTCTCCATATACTCCATTCTCTCCATGGCGCTGTCTCCGGCCGTGGCGCTGGTGCGTGGCGTGGGACTGCGGTCTGCTCTCTCGCGTCTCGCGCGGCCGCGGGTACATATAAAGAAAGAAAGAAAGAAAACACAGGCACCCCAAAGGAGGGATTGGAGGACGGCACGCCGCCACCACACAGCTCACAGGGATTTCACGTCCAGGGATTTTAAGGAGAGGAGTGTTAGGCGATCGGCTTTCTTTCTAGTGCTAGCACGCGCCAGCAAGGACCGGCACGCCCCCCCCCCCCCCCCCTCCCGCCGGCCCCGTGTGCCGCCGCATCCCCCCCCCGCGGGGTCGCCCGTCTCCGTACTCGCCCCTCGTTGCCACCCCCACATCAGCACCCCTCCCCAAGATCCCCCTCCCCCCCTTTCTCCCGCCGTCGACCCCTCGCCGTGCCTCGACGGCGGGATGTACCTGTTGGTGCGTCCATTGCCTGCCGCCCGCCGGGCTCCACCCCCCCCCCTCCCCAAAACCCGGTACCCGCTAGCCCCCGCCGGCGCGTCTCCTTCCGTACCCCATTCCGAGACGATGTGCCGCGCCGCGCCTCGTGAGTTCTTCAGTAACGTATTCAGTGCTTGCCATTTACTGGTAAATGAGTGGTATTTACCACTTATTTGATTCCCCTAGGGAGTGGTATGGTATGAGCAGAGAGTGGTATGGTAAAATACCGAACACCACCAGTCGGGCGCAGCCCGGCTGGGCGCCGGCAGCCGGTGGACCCCCACTAGCCACTAGCACTACGACGCACGACCGCCCCCCATCCAGGAGAAGAGCGTGGCGGCCATGATGCCATCGCCATCGCCCCGCCTCCTCCCCCGCACCAGCCGCAGGGCCAGCGACCTGGGGCATGGGGCTCTGCCGCCGCCGCCACTCCCATCACCGCTGTCTGCAGCTAACAGCGCCGACCAGCTCCGCCAAGGCAGGTGCTCCACACTTGGCTCTCGTAGCGCCCGCGTGAGCTCTGCGCCCGCCACTCCTCGATGATCTTCTTCACCAGGATCTTTGAGGGGTCCTTCCACTCGGCGCCGAGCGAGCAGATGGTCAACGCATTCCTAGGACTAGCGCACATGAGTACGGCAAACTGGGTGGGCTCAACACCCCAATCTAGCCATACAGTCTAGCTACGCCGCCTGCTCCAGGCCCTCCTCAAACTCGGCAACTGCCGCATTTGTTGCTGCTCCGCCTGACGATGCTTCCGCAGTGCGCTGTCATGTTCAACCCAAGGCCACGCAGTGCCGCAGTTCATGTTCAACCCATGGACCGGCATGACGATTCGTCATGCCGGTCCACTCTGAACTTGCCGCGCGTGAGGTAGCAAATGGCCTTGTCGGCAGCAGCCAGCTTATTGCGCCGCTTCTTTGCAATGAGCTGCTCGGATCGCAGAAGCTCATGCCGAGCACTGCCTCGATCTTGAAGATGAACGTTCGACGCCGCGTCGTCCGCACCGCAAGCCGTGCCTGGCGCAGCGCCGCGGCCGCCCTCTGGCACTTGTAGCGGCAGCACATGGTACGGTGCGCATACTTGAGCAGGCGGGTCGCGCCGCAGTTGGCACAGGGGCCCTGGGTGTAGGGCGAGCGCGGCATCGACGTCGAACCCGGGTATTTCTCTGGTATCTCTGGTGAGCCTGTGTGTGTGCCAGTCCGCGCCAGTCTGCGCCCTTGTCGTGCCAGTGTGCTGTGAGAGAGGCTTGTATCTTAAGAATTCTCTGGTATCTCTTAGGTGGCGAAGATCCCAGGGCGGATCTTCCAGCCCCTTTCGGCACCGCAGCGCGGTCCTACGGCCGCTGGTGGCCGCCCCGATGGCCCAGCTGGCCTAGCCGGGTCGGCTGCATGTCCAGGCGGGCCGTGGGGGCCATTGTTGGGTCATTGTGTCTCGTTTGAAAACGGGTTTTCGGCTGACGGCAGAAGATCCTCTGGAGGATCTTCTGCCGGGAACCAATGTCAGAGCTCTGAACGGCTGATCTGAGAGCCCCCCAGCACAGTAGGGATTGATTATGATCAGATCCATCACTCACTGGCCGGGGTTGAGCTATTCTAGACGACAAGCCGCGTGCAGAGTGCCTGAAGTTCAGCCCCGCACGACGCACAGACGTGCCGGCTAGTGGGCTGCTAGCGCTCTGGGATGCTCTGCTCGCAGGGCCAGAGCCCGTGCTAGCGTGTCGCCGATTGCCCAGTGACCTTCCCTGCTGTCCGATGTCGCGATGTGGCCTGCTCAATCGTGTGTTTGTGTTGAGCATGCCCACGCGACATATTTTCTGTTCACTTGTTCGTTAAATAACAAAGATACATAATAATAATAATAAGAGTGGGGCATCCAACCCTACCCAACCCGTGTCCCGAATCCATCAGCGTTGTTCGCGCGGCAATACAAGGGGGGAAGCGCCGTTCAAAGTCATTCATTGGCCCGTGCCCGTGTGGTAAAATTCTTTTTGGCCACGCCGATCGATGCCACCAAAGCCGATGCCACCAAAGCACGCTTCCAGGCCTCCCGCCTCGCGGCAGGCGCAGCGCTGGGCGAAGGACCTCAAGCTGATCGGCGCGGCCGCCGCGCTGGTGGCCGCCTTTCTCCTCGGCTCGGCCTTCCTGTCTCCCCGCTCTCACCGCGTGTCCTCCTCCGCGCCAAAGCGGCCACAGAGCGCCAGCCCGCCGACGGCGCCGGTCCCCATCGCGCTGGCGGGCGGCACGCTCTCTCGCTTCACGGCTGAGCACAACGCCTCCCTCCTCTGGGGCACGTACCGGCCCGGCGTCTACTTTGGGATGCGCTCGCGCACAGCGCCGACGGCGCTCGTCGCCGGGCTGATGTGGACGCGGGCGAGGCCAGACGGAGGCGTCGACGCGACGACGCTGCGCCACCAGTGCGAGCAGGACGGGCTCGAGCGATACGGCTTCACCGCCCACGACGGGCGCGGTTTCGGGAGCCAGCCCATCGTCGACCGCGCCAACGGCGTCCACCTCACCACCACGTTTGTGGCGACGCCGGCCGGAGGTGGAGGAGGAGGCGGCGGAGGAGGAGGCTCTTCGCCGGGAGGGTGGGCGGTCCGCATCTCGGGCGAGCCGATCGCGGGCGCCGCGCCCAAGCAGCACCTCTTCCTCTACCTCTCGCTCGACACCGAGTTTGCGCCGCGGCTGTCTCGCGGCGCGGCGCTCGGCAAGCTGGAGGTGCTCTCGTTCCAGCCGGAGGAGGGGGTGCACGTGGGCGGGCAGGTGGAGGAGGTCGGCCGCTTCTCCCTCCTCGCTGCGGCGCGCACGCAGGGCGGCGACCCCCTCCCGCTGCGAGCCTGGGGCTCCGCAGCTCGGCACCACTCCCACCTCAACGTGGCGGAGCTAGTCGCCGAGCAGCTGCCGCCGCAGCAGCCGCAGCAGCAGCAGCAGCAGCACGATTCGCGGCTCGACCTGAACGGCCTCGTGCCGAGCCGCAGCCGGCTGCTCGTGCTGCAGCTCCGCACCTCGGGCGAGCCGTTCGAGATCGACGCGACGCTGATCGGCGGCGGCTGCGGCGCGGGCGGCGCCGTCGGGGACGAAGAGTGCGGCGCCCTCCTCGCACGGTGGTCGGGCGGCGCGCTCTCGGCCGAGATCCGCTCGCGCACAGACGCGTTCCACGCCCGCCTCGCCTCCACGTTTGGCTTGGACGAGCAGCGCGAGGGCGGCGCGCTTCGGCTCGGCGGGTCGCCCCTCGGGGAGAGGGAGAAGGGCTTCGCCGCGGCGGCGCTCGCGGCGCAACTCGGCTCGCTCGGCTTCTTTTCCTGCAAGTCGGGGGTCCCCTCCTCCGACCGGCTGTCTTCTTCCTCGCCTCGCCTTGTTCCACTACTCTGAACGCCCACGCCCTCCCCCTCTGCGGCGGGATCCGGTCTCCCCCCCCTCTTTTTCCTCCCCCC